TCGGCCGGAGCCGCGCGGCTCACCGTCACGGCGCAGTTGCCATGTGGAACGTGCAGTCGGTCACACGCGGCAGCCGCTCAGAAAGTGAGGAGGACCTCTGGCAGGGTGGATGTGTGCTACTTAGAGGCAGAGTAGGTAGCTTGTCTGAGACGGATTAACATCGCCCAAGGTTGAACCGATACGGCATGTTGCTGCGGGATTACGGACAATCAGGTTCGCTCACATGTCTTTTGCAATGGGCAATAACACGGCACGACTTCCGCATTATGAGCGAGTTAACGACGCAACGGCACCGCAGAAAGTCTCGCTCTGTTTTACGACGGCGACGTTTTGCACGGTGCAATACCGTGTTCGGCTGCAGCCGGCCGCGGCATTTTTTGTCGGCAGCCGTGTAGGCACAGTGAACATGCACAGCTACAGATTGGCGGAGTTGATCCTGCCGACCCGGTTTCTGGGCGACAGTCTGTGCTGGCTCGACACGTTGTTCTGGCAGATTAGCAGTCCGGTGTCGGCAGAACTGGGGACGGTCTGTTCATGTCCCCAGCGCTGAGCGGTGATCAGCGCCGCTGTCGGCTGTCCGGTGTCCAGCCGTCGGCAGGTCGGAGAGGAACCGACCCCTCTCAGAGCAGGCACTGTAAGGGACGAACCGACATATAGGCACCGTGGCAGGTCGACCGACCCTTCCCTCTCCGGTCAGATACACCGTGCCATGGGACCGCTGAACATCAGTTTAACACCCCCTATCGTCTGTAATTCACGCGATACCGCGAGCTCCGGGTTTTCCTATCAATACATCAGCTCGAACGCGCGCTGCGTAGCAAACAAGGTAAACCTGGGAGTTGGGTCGCGGTCGCTGTTTGAACAGTGAGACGCACTCGGCATGCTCGCTGCTGACCAGCGCAGCTGGTGCCGGTCCGGGCTGCGGGTCTGCTCACCGTAACGACACCGTAGCGCCCGAGCCAACACCCAATAGCCAGGAATCGCCGAGCGAGCTCGCGACTGGGCTGTGACTCACGGCTCACGCAGTGACCTGTCGCCTGAGGAGTCGTTGGCGCCGTCCGGGCGGTGTGCCACTCCGCGCCCCGCCACCCGCAGCGAGCGACCGTTCCCGGCTCGCCAGTAGGTATACCCATCGCACGGTTCGTCGGAAGGTCATCTCAGGCTCAAAAGAAACGATATATACCATTCGAAAGCTGACGGTGAGCTGAATCCAAAAATGTAATTTTTATCAAAATCGATCGATGGCCTTTTTTGAAAATTGCGTTTTTGGAAAAACTTTATAATTTTTTATTCAACGGGCTGTCCCGGACATTCTTGAAAACATAAACATGGATTTTTGAGTTCCAGTGAAAGCTGAATGCCAAAAGAACAATATTTAGCGAAGCAATATTTCCTAACATTAACCCTCGCCCGTAAACGGCGATCTGCCACCTTCGCCCATGCAGGGGGGGGTTGGTGCGACCCCCCCCTTGGCGTTTGAAAACGGAGCGTCGTAGAGCTTAGCGGAAAAGACCAACGGATTGCTCTCGCCGAGATCTCGCGATTGGTGGTATATTTTTTGGTCCTAGGTCAACATTTGACCTACTTTTGACCGGTCAAAGGTCAAATTTTCGGAAAAATAGACTTTTTTCAACTTTCGGCGGCGATTGCGGCAAAACGGTGGGAGATATCGACTTGAAACCTTCACTATCGTGTTCCTTGATCAATTTTCTATCGTTTGGTATGTATTTCGTTTCCCTAGCTCTAAAAATGGCGCGTTGGGAGCGCCGGAAGTCGGCAAGGTCACAGTCGGCGGCAGAAATTCGAAAAATCAAAATTTAAATTTTTGAAATCTGATTGTATTTTTGGATTTGGGAGGTCCATTTGCTCCCTATAGTAGCTAATATTGCGGCATATTCCCATTTAGGTGACAAGAATTAGCAAAATAGTGGTTCGGGCGCTTTTCAAAAATAGTACCGGACGCTGTTCCTCTTGTGACGTCATAGCTCCGTGACCTGACCTGACCCGGTCAAGTTTCTTATACCATATGATAGCCAATACTTGCCCCAACATGCATGGGAAGTTTCATCACGATCCATCAACCGATGTCCGTACCACCGGCAGGAAACCTCGGGCGTTGGCACTCAGTTTGTGAAAATCCGGCCGGAGGCTGTTCCCTTTGTGACGTCATAACTCCGTGACCTGACATGACCCGGTCAAATTTTTTTTATCAAAAGATGCGCAAGGTTTGCCCCATAAGGTACCCAAAATTTGGCGGCGCTGCGCGCCGCCGTTTTCGCACTATTTCCGAAAAACCTCAGGGGGGGGTTGCACCAACCCCCCCCCCCCTACATGGGCGAGGGTTAATATGCGTCTCCCAAAGCCGATAATAAGGCGCAATCACACAGCTCAGTGTCACGATGGACCAAAGTCAGCCACACAGAAGCGTGAAATGACCCTTATCGACTCGCAGACCCGGTGCTTTCGGCCCGCCTGACCAGCCACGGAAAGAACGTTCGCCTCTCGTTCTACTAAACAAATGTCATATTTTGTCAGTTTAACTGTCTACATCGCTATTAAAGTTATTCAGGATACCTGTGAAGAAAATTCATTGTTCTGCTTGATTTACAACGTGCTTTAATTTACATTTTTCTTATACATGTTTTGTTCCATCCAGCTGCGCTCAGTGCCCGCGCGGGGGAAGTGAGCGGGGTTTCACCGTCAGAGGCTGTACTGGTGACAGCTGCTCGGCCGTGCGACCGGTCAAAGGTTACCCTGCCCCACCGGGCGCTACCCCCACTCCACCCGAGCTGAGGCCGGTACAACCTCTGACATTTCAGCGCGGCCAATTTTCCTTATATGGGCATGATACCAAGCTCAATTGAGCAAAGTAGACATGAACAAATGCAAATTGATGCATGATGTGAAAATGACAGAGCAATGAATCTTCTGCTCATGTATCCTGAATAACTTAAGTACGGACTTGAATCGTTAAAGGGACCCTCCCACCTTAACATTAGTTTTGAGTTGAGATAGCCAAATTGGTGGCCATGGCCTGAAAATACCGGTTTGGGCATTAACAACATCGAAAAATGCTTTAATTCGGAGATATGGAATTTCAAACTTGCAGTTTTCGGATTCTAAGGGGCTAATGCATTGGTATGCCCCCTTAGAATTTGTGACGTCAGCGGAGATCTAACGATTTTCAAATCTTTTACTAAAACGTTTGGCAGCACGCGGTGGTATATGCGGCTTTGCGCGCAACAAATGCCGCACTTTCAAATAAAGTCGCTAGGAACAGCGGAGATCCCAAAAAGTAAACAAAAGTAAAAGTCTAATATCTTGAAAACCGGTGAATATTTTTCGATGAAATTTGGTAGATATTAATTTTTGCTCTTTCTGAACCGAGCGACATCACTTTCATGCCATTTCATTAACTTTTTTGAAGGTGGGAGGGTCCCTTTAAACTAACAAATATGACGTCTGTTTAGTAGAACGACAGCCAAACCTCCTTGCCGTGGCCGGTCAGGCGGGCCGAGAGCGCCGGGTCTGCGAGTCGATAAGGGTCATTTCACGCTTCTGTGTGGCTGACTTTGGTCCATCGTGACACTGAGCTGTGTAATTGCGCCTTATTGTCGGCTGTGGGAGACGCATATTAATGTTTGGAAATATTGCTTCGCTAAATATTGTTCTTTTGGCGTTCAGCTTTCACTGGAACTCAAAAATCCATGTTTATGTTTTCAAGAATGTCCGTGACAGCCCGTTGAATACAAAATTATAAAGTTTTTACAAAAACGCAATTTTCAAAAAAGGCCATCGATCGATTTTGATAAAAATTACATTTTTGGATTCAGCTCACCGTCAGCTTTCGAATGGTATATATCGTTTCTTTTGAGCCTGAGATGACCTTCCGACGAACCGTGATCGGTCCTCCGTGTGTCGAAGGACAGGCGGGAGGAAATGACTGGCGGAGTCCCGCCCGTTCGCCATTAGAATGCGCCGCTGTTCCTCCGGCGTACCGGCCGGGGTTTGTGCGGGAGACCCGGGCGCGGCCCGGTCCCGCACCCCCATGCGGAGAAAGATCTATTGGAGATGCAAATGGCGCGCAGGGTTCTGGGGATGTCGCGGTGATTGGAAATTAGTCACGGAGAGCCCCAGGGGCGTCTGAACGATTGCCGGGATAGTTCTGTGACGGCTGTGCCCTTGTTGGTCTGGTATTGTAAAGCTAGCGCGTATTGTTAGACCGGTGAAGCGACATGAAAATAGAAATACCTAACAATTAATGCTCATACTTTATCCCCAAGAACATCGTAAAGTACAACTCTTCCAAATAGATAAATAGCGGAGAGACGAGACATGAGCGGTCGAACTTGGCAAGGCTACAAGCCAAACTAACGATTCAACTCTGATGACGACGCGGAGTTCGACTTACCACCCGCTCCTCTGCCAGACATCCGATCACGCTCGGCGGATCACGAACCAATATCACGAACCAATAACAGTTCGTGCGTGTATAGCGTTTCCGGCTCACACCGTCCAGCACGCCCGCCGGAGTCGGCAGTCGTGCCGGAGCCCCGCGCCGGCCGTCCCAGTCAAGTGTACCCACTCTAAACGGCAGCACGACATGGCAATTACCCACTTCTCCGCGCAGTCTTCCTCCTCTTGTGATAGTGCGCAATACAGTACCGCTATCGACCGAACGCACTGTGCTGCAGGAACACATTTTGATTTAATGTCCTCCAAAAAAATAGAAACTGACGTGTAGAGGCAGGAAAGCAGTGACCACAAGAGTAGCTGGCTGGACCAGTGACCACCTCCACCGTATGGGACCTGGCGGGGTTCTAACGGCTCCCTGCGTCTCTCACCAGCGCCTGCGTTCCAACACGTCCACATGAGCGGCGAGCAGAGGGACTTAGATCAGACGGGTGTGCGATAGGTCAGGCAGGTGGAACGAACAGCCGCGGCGCCCCGCTGGGTGTTGTAACGACACGTCACACACTGGGTGCCCCTCGCCGCCTCACCTGCGGTTGTGCTGCCGGGCCCTCAGTCGTCAGTCAACAGCGCCGCCCGCCTCCGTCAGCGGCGCTCCGACCAGTCCGCAACGCCCGCCCGACACCACCTCCCCGCACCGAGTCAGCGGCCACACTGCCGCCGGCCGCGGCGGCGCGGCGGCGAGCAGCGCCCGGCCGGCGGGAGCCGAGGACCGCGGCCGGCGGCACCCGGCCCACGCACCCGAGCGGACTGCGGACGGCACGTGGCCCACGCACCTAAACGGACTGCGAACGGCACCCGGCCCACGCACCCCAACAGACTGCGAACGGCACCCGGCCCACGCACCCCAACAGACTGCGAACGGCACCCGTCCCACGCAGCTGACAGGGCGCGTGTCGGAGGCCGGTCTCATGGGGCGGGTGTCCGGACCGGGCTGCCGGGCGACGCTGGATGGGGAGACGGCGCGCGGGTGAAAGGCAGTCGCTGAGTCAGCCACGGGACTTTCTTTACCGTATAATGGTGGGCTAGCGGGGTCGTCGAGCGGTTAAAGATGTTAATGCTGAAAATGTGGTCTTCATGTAGGTCTTCTTCATGTTGTCTTCTACATGCTGACTTTGGTATGGTAAGGTAGCTTGTCGGGGCATCAATGTAGTTTTGGGCGATCGTAACCATGCTTGATATGACATTGTATGCAACCCTTCACCATGGGTGTCGATTTCTGTCGAGTTGCGGGTGCCCGAGCTCTCCCATCCAAGCCGGCTTGGCTCTGGAGCCGCCAATAGACGGCGCGAGCTGCGGCGGATTTGTAGTGCTCGGGCAACCGCAACTCGATGAAGCAGAAATCGACACCCATAACCTTCACATTAGAACATTGAGCAATATAAAGTTAATTGACATTTTATTTTCATGTAATTCCAACTATAACAATTTCACTGATAGCATATTTGCAAATATTTAGCACCATTTGCCCATTCGATGTCCTACAAAAAAATAGGCATGAATTGAAGCACGTTCTATGATTTTCGACACAGAGGTGATGGCTCATAGATTTATATCACTGATATCACAACAGTAGAGCTTTAAAAGCAAGGTACACACAACGCTCCGAAATTTGAGCGCAAAAACGCGCATCACACGGTCACGGTTAATCCGATACGGATATAACTCGGTCATCACTGCTCACTCCGCAGCGGCGGCGGTTATATCCGCGGCCGCAGTTGAGTCAGGCGGCGGCGACTGACGACCGGGCGCGTTTACCAAACACTCGACACCTGGCGGGGGCGGCTCCGGTGACTCAGCCGCCCCCGCCCCCGCCCCCTCCGTCGGCGCCGGCCCGCCCGCTCAGGTCGCCGCGCACACGTCCTCCGTGAACTGCACGAAGCCGTCGCCGGTACCGAACGTCACGGGCAGGATGTTGGGCCGGCGCCGACACATCGGGCACCGCTGGTTGCGAACCTCGGACGACCGCAGCCACATGATCAGGTTGTATCTGACGGCGCAACGGGCGGCGACCGTTAGAGTCCGACAGAAAACAAAACAACATAGTTACAGCTGATATTGCGGGAAAGCGCCCGTAATGAAATCTCAACATCATGAGACATTGTGAACTCAGAAAATACAGGTGCGCACAATTAGTCTTTTTGCATAACTACATAGTTGTGATCAGCAAGGTAAGCCTATTTTAAGTACTAACCCATATATGTACAGATCGAGAAATGTACAATATCGCAGGTTGAAGAGAATATTCAGCAGCCATGTAGCTTTATTAGTATGCATGTCTGTAAATTAAGTATGTTCACTGTTCAGGCTCCCTCATCTCCCTCTCCCACTCTTTCATTCCCCCTCTTCCTCGCTCCGTCTCACCGTTCCCCTCAATGCTCCTCTCACTCCCCGCCCATCTCCTCCTCCCTCTCTCCCCTCTCACCGCTCGCCGTCCTCGATGGGCATGGCGCCGTGCAGGTGCTGCCCGCGGTGGAGGGCGGCCACGCCCACCTGGTGGCGGTAAACCACCCGGTCGTCGGTGGCCGGACCCTCCGCCATGTGGCTCAGGTACAGCTCACCGCCCTCGTAGCCCTCGTTCAGCGCCACGTTCAGCGACAGCTGCGCGGACGACAGCGGCCGACGGCCGTGAGACCGCGGGGCAGACGCGGTGCGGGAGATATGGCCACCGCAGCGGGGGGTGGGAGCGGGGCTGATGACCGACGGGGCAGAGGTGGAAGGGATCTGGGACGGGCGATGACGCTAGTCACACAAATAACCACTCATACACATCTGTACAATGTCCGTGTCACGACCAATGACTAAACGGCATACGCGTATTACTGGCGTTTACTTGACCCCTGTGTTGTGTATCGTTCACACAGTGATGAACAGTGAACACCCACCTCAGCGTTGTCGAAGTGGCAGGCCAGGTCCTCGTCCTCGCCCAGTTTGTACTTGACCACGAACACCCTGTGTGAGTCGAGCGAGGCGCCACCGTACTCTGGGTACAACACGGCCGTAATCGGACGGATGTACTCGTCGCGTAGCACGTCGAAAAACTCCGGGTTCATGCCCAGCTCGTCCAGCAGCAACTGTGGACATCGAGTCGGTGCATAGGAAGTAGGAACGGCGCAGTCGACTCACCACAATAGGGAACGGCAATCAAAGGTTCAGAGTAAATTTAGCAACATCAACGTCAACTTAACGTGGATAGAAATGTGCATGCGGTTACAGAAAATCGGTTTTCTAAATGACAGTAAAAAAAAACATTGTAGCTGAGTTTTGATGAGGGGACAGTGTCACTACGCCACCACTACCTGACAGCAGCCCCTCCCTCAGACCCGAGCAGCGAGCAGCGATACCCAATTGTCGGAGTCCTGCCGGCGCTCAAACGCACCCCGTGGTTGTTCATGGTGTTGGGCCGGCCCTTGGGCATGTCGGAGGCCTCGAAGTGGCGCAGCTCCTCCAGCAGGTGGCGGCAGAACTCGCGCGTGAACAGCGGCAGCGCGAACACCCGCTGCGGCAGGCAGCGCAGCCGCGCCGACAGCTGGGCGGCCGTGACATCGCGCCTCTGGGCGAGCGTCACCAGCTCCAGCAGCGCCGGCTGCAGGCAGTACGGCTGACGGGGAGACCGGGACGGGTCAGACGGTACGGCTGACGGGAAGACGGGACGGGTCAGACGGTACGGCTGACGGGGAGACGGGACGGGTCAGACGGTACGGCTGACGGGGAGACGGGACGGGTCAGACGGTACGACGACGACCGCCCGCGCCGGTAATACCTAGTCCTACGGCTGATGGAGACGGGTCACAACCAGATGGGTTACGCAGTGAGGATGATGTACAGAAATACCGTCAGGAAGGACTGGCCATTTTGTATGGTTGGATGAGGGAGCTAAAGAATAGAATTGGAGTACTGCAGTGTGGTAAAGCAGTGTGCCATGGAACAGGAACTCATGGTGCTGATAAAGAATGACAGCAGTGCCAGATGTATCATTTTCTGTCTTTTTCTGATGCAGAAATAATCAATCAATATGTGATAATGTTGACTCACTTGTAATTTGTACACAGATGGATTTTTTGGCACATAGCGTTGAATGATGTGCTTATGTCTGGATGCGGAATCGCCTTGCAGCTGCTTTCGGCGAGTGACTTCTTCCTCAATCTGAAACATCAATGAATGAATGCACCATACCACTACTGAATAACAGCATAGATAGGTTGGTGGGAAGCCACACAATGCAATGTGACATTTCAGCCTGCCAAACCAATACAAACTTGTTCAGGGTCCATACTTCTGTAAGTCCTGTATCATCAAAACAGAACTTAAGTCATAAAACACCAAGTCAGCTAACAAGGTCAGGCAATTCTATCAACAGCTACCAATTATCAACTCTATAAACAAATCCTTTTCTACATTTTGATTTACATATCAATATTGATTTACCTGTTCTGGAATATGTTTAGGGCATTTGCACCCTAGTTCTTTCAAAATTGGCGAATAATCTTTCAAAAACTGTGTCTTGTTGATGTATGTGACATGTATATTGAATTCCTTTAAGAATATATTTTCAGTGTAAAAACACTTGCAGATGCCAAACACTTTCCTCATGATAAAACGGATGAATACAAATTGAAATACTGGTAGTGGTACGATGAGCCGTCTGTAGCAAACAACATAAAGAAAAGCAAAATTGGTTCACCGTAACTTTGTCTTTTAAACGATCTGCGCAATTTGTTGAATATGATGGAATATGAGCTATGCAGCTATATTTGTAATCAAGATTTATCCACTGAACTCTATAATGGATCTAAGGGATTTATCCCATTCCTGCTTGTAAACACCAAAAATGTCTCTAGCGCGCAGTACATGTAACGTATCAAGAGCTAAACATATCGTTACTTATTATGTTCTTTAGACGGATCGTGAGCGGCTCGAATTGGTAATCCCTGCAGTTCATTGGTGGATATACGGCACGCAAAAGGAAAGAACAGCTATATTGTAGTATTTTGAACATTGTTCTCAAATTAACTCGTTTTTGCGCACATATGCGCCAGGCCCTGCAATCTGCAATCCGCGTTGCGTTATGTAAAACGATAGCTTTGAAACAAACGTTTTTGATTCACGTGATTCGGAACCATTGCTCTTTTTTCGGGCGAAGTCTGACTTCATGGTACCTATGTTATTGTTATTGCAAGCACTCTTATAAGGTTTAAGTACTAAGACACACTTTCACTGGAGATCCTGTTCCTGAATGTGAGCATAGCAATAGGTCATCACCTTCAGTTTGGGCTGTGGTGGCATTCTGACATTTATCAAAATAAACTTTTTTAAAAGAGAATGCCAACTTTTTTTGCCTACAAATCTTGGGCTCCATTCGGATGCCCCATTTTCCGCATGAACTTTCCACATCAAGGGGAATTCCACACAAAAACGTACGATGGGGCAGAGGGAAATGCATGGAATCAAGTGGGATGCTCTGAAATAATAAGAAATACAGAGTATGTTACACCTGTTTTAAAGATGGCGGCTGCCAATGCCATGGAAAAGATGTTCATCTATGGGTGTTGGGGTTTATGATGAATCACATGGATTTTTTTCTCAAAATATTACATTTGTTTGGTTGTGTAATAGGTAGCTGAGCTGCTTGCATGTCATATAGCAGCAAATATAACATTGAAGTTGCCACCCATCTCAACTCAACCCCAACATGATCTTTTTGTGGCAAAGTCTTTGTTTTGAGTTTTGCAACATGAGCGATGCTTGAGGAAGAAAACCTGAAGGATTCATAGATTTTGAGCTTTTTTGTTAACTCCCTCATGGATACCCTTCCAGCAGCCAATGCTGCCTTTTTGGATTTACTAATGGCCAATGGCTGGACAAGAGATTAGATCTTGTCATTCATTTTTATTTGTCCACTACTAGACCAATGTTGACTTTACTGTTAACCTACAATTGTTCTCTGCTAAAGTGGATCATCAAATACAGTTTTTTTTTAGCATATCATTAAAAATACAGAAAGAGTTAATGATAACATTTTTGCTCATAACTAAAGTAGGCCAAAAACAAATACTGGATTTGTTTTTTGGCTTACCTACTTTAGTTATGAGCCCAAGGTTGTTATTAACCCTGTCTACAATTAGACTCTGATTTATGGAATAACATTTTTGTGCATTTAGGAACTTTAATGATTTAAATTCTCTTGATTATACATTTCACAATCAATGAGTCACTGTCTTATATTTATAATTACTTAGGGCTGTGATAAAAAATCAGACACTAGGTTTAGGACTGGACTGAAGTTATTTTGAAATAAAGTGTTGGAATCTGTACTGTAAGATTGATTAGTTTTATACCTGTATATAACAAGATAAGACTTTGCCACTTAACCCTATTAGTGGCAGGGGGGGGGTTGTTTTTATCCACCCCTCAGGTTTTTCGGGAATATCTCCGAAACCGCTGAAGCTACGATGCTGAAATTTTCTGACTTTTCCTAAAACTAAATTGGGCACATTCCCTGAAAATTTCAAGTTCATAACTTTACCAGGGGCGGCTCCAGAGCACTGGGAATTGGGGGTCCTATTCGTGAAGCGAGTCATTCGGGCGAAGATCACGATGCTGCACCAGTTTTACGAACAGTGAATGAAAGGTATCATGTGATAACATATACAAAGTTATTGTGCATCCTCTTTTGACACGTTTTTGCTATAATAGGCGGATCCAGGCGTCCAAAAGGGGGGTTATTTTTTACCTCCCAACATAGGTGCCCTGACACCGCCTATGCATGACCAATACAATTTTAGTCGTTCTCTCCTAAGAAAATTGTAACATAACAAGACCATTGCCACCCTTTTTAGAAACAGTACCAACAAAAACCTTATTTACTATACTTTTTGTGTACCCCCAATCTCAATGATCTGTATCCGCCTATGATTTTTGAAAATGCATATTTTTAGGATCCATGTGAATTCCTGGTTCATTCTCTATCGATCGGCAAAAGTTGCGTTAAGATTGGTTCAGAAACCTGGCCGTGATAAACAGTCTAAAATGTATCTGCAATTTGCCCGTTTTTACCCCCCTCTACCCCCCTATTGACATTTTTTAATTTTATTTTTTTAGAAATGTAGATCTCGTTGAGCCAAATCGAATGCCGTTTGAATTTTGAAAATCGGCCGGTTAGATCTCGAGATATCAAGGGGGGGTCGTAAACAGCCCCCCCCCCTGCCACTAATATGGGGTAGCCAGGAGCCTGCCACTAATAGGGTTAAGATGTACCTAAGGATTGTAATTTGCATCCAAGATACTGGGGGCTTTAACAGTAAAGTAAACCTATTACCAACAATGTATTTTGATGCAAAAATCAATTAAATGTGTGCCCTTTATTACCATGAAGCATTAACAAATCTCATTGTGCCATCTGATTTTGATTCTCGACATGCTATTCATTAAAATTTCCATTCAGATACCATAGATACCATCCTCCTTTTTCCAGAGATGACAGTTGTTGTCCTGTGAGCCACTGTGCAGTGCAGCAGCATGTTCCAGAAACCAGATGCCAGTAAGGATGCGTTCCTGGAGCAGGCGCGGGCGGCGCGCGAAGAGCGCCACATGCAGCAGCGCCGTGAGCGCGCCGCTGTCCGTGTGCAGGCCCTCGTCAGGGGCTTCCTGGCGCGGCGCGCCGCCCGTCGAGATGTCACGTGAGTGGCACGGGGGGGGGGGGGGGGTGAGGACCTCGGGCACCAGTGGGTCCCGGTGGGAACGGTCAGCCGGTGGGGCACATCGGGGCGGTCAGCCGGCGACGCTGCTGTTACCGGCGGGACAGTGGGTGTAAACGGAGCAGCGGGTCCCGACGGGACAGCCGGGATAAAAGGAGCAGCGGGACAGGACGTGAAAACGGCGCAGCCGGTCCCGACGGGGCCGGGCAGCTGGCGGGGCAGGGGTCACGGCGGGGCCGGACGGCCAGTAGGGTCGGTCGATACCCAGTGGTGGCTGATGAGCCGGTCACGCCGTTATGGGCCGTACGGGGCTGACCCGGCGGCGACCTGCAGATTGATGGCGTCCGTTCTGACCTTTACCATCGGCCGTAATCAGGAGCCGTCACGCCACAGCGGCTTTGCGTTGTCTGTGTGCTGCTCTCTCTAAATTGGATGGCTCCATGGCTTACCTCCCTTTTACACGCTGCTGGCTGGCTGTAGCTCCCTGTCCGCTGAGTGTCTGCGGCTCTGACGGCCCATCTCCTCCTCGTGTCCCCTCCACTGACCCCCATCTCCTCTCCGTGTCCCCTCCACAGTCCAGTCCACTGACGGCCCGTTTCCCCTCCGTGTCCCCTCCACTGACTCCCATCTCCTCCTCGTGTCCCCTCCACTGACCCCCCCCCCCACCGCCGTGTCTCACCGTGTCCCCTCCACTGACGCCCGTGTCTCCCGTGTCCCCCCCCCCCCACTGACGGCCTGTATCCTCCCCGTGTCCCCTCCACTGACGGCCCGTGTCTCCCCGTGTCCCCTCCACTGACCCCCGTGTCTCCCCGTGGCCCCTCCACAGTCCACTGACCCCCTTGTCTCCCCGTGGCCCCTCCACAGTCCACTGACCCCCGTGTCTCCCCGTGTCCCCTCCACTGACGGCCCGTGTTCCCCGTGTCCCCTCCACTGACCCCCGTGTCTCCCCGTGTCCCCTCCACTGACCCCCGTGTCTCCCCGTGTCCCCTCCACTGACCCCCGTGTCTCCTCTCCGTGTCCCCTCCACTGACCCCCGTGTCTCCCCGTGTCCCCTCCACTGACCCCCGTGTCTCCTCTCCGTGTCCCCTCCACTGACCCCCGTGTCTCCCCGTGTCCCCTCCACTGACCCCCGTGTCTCCTCTCCGTGTCCCCTCCACTGACCCCCGTGTCTCCCCGTGTCCCCTCCACTGACCCCCGTGTCTCCTCTCTGTGTCCCCTCCACTGACTCCCCGTGTCTCCCCGTGTCCCCTCCACTGACGGTCCGTGTCTCCCCGTGTCCCCTCCACTAACGGCCCGTGTCTCCCCGTGTCCCCTCCACTAACGGCCCGTGTCTCCCCGTGTCCCCTCCACTGACCCCCGTGTCTCCTCTCCGTGTCCCCTCCACTGACTCCCCGTGTCTCCCCGTGTCCCCTCCACTGACGGTCCGTGTCTCCCCGTGTCCCCTCCACTAACGGCCCGTGTCTCCCCGTGTCCCCTCCACTGACCCCCGTGTCTCTCCGTGTCCCCTCCACTGACTCCCCGTGTCTCCCCGTGTCCCCTCCACTGACGGTCCGTGTCTCCCCGTGTCCCCTCCACTGACGGCCCGTGTCTCCCCGTGTCCCCTCCACTGACGGCCCGTGTCTCCTCTCCGTGTCCCCTCCACTGACTCCCCGTGTCTCCCCGTGTCCCCTCCACTGACCCCCGTGTCTCTCCGTGTCCCCTCCACTGACTCCCCGTGTCCCCTCCACTAACGGCCCGTGTCTCCCCGTGTCCCCTCCACTGACCCCCGTGTCTCCTCTCCGTGTCCCCTCCACTGACTCCCCGTGTCTCCCCGTGTCCCCTCCACTGACGGTCCGTGTCTCCCCGTGTCCCCTCCACTAACGGCCCGTGTCTCCCCGTGTCCCATCCACTGACCCCCCGTGTCTCTCCGTGTCCCCTCCACTGACTCCCCGTGTCTCCCCGTGTCCCATCCACTGACCCCCGTGTCTCCCCGTGTCCCCTCCACTGACGGCCCGTGTCTCCCCGTGTCCCTTCCACTGACGGCCCGTGTCTTCTCTCCGTGTCCCCTCCACTGACGGCCCGTGTCCCCCCGTGCAGCCGCCGGCTGGAGGCGGTGCTGCAGTCGGCGGCCGGCGCCGAGGAGTCGCCGCCGCTGGTCGCCGCTCAGGAGGTGTACCGCTGTGTCAGGGACTACCTGGTCATCACCGGCGGTCGCGACGGACAGCGCTTCGGACAGATCTGTAGGTCAGTATCGAGCTCTGCCGGCACCAATGGCGGGTCAGTTCCGGTAAAAACGGACAGATCACCGTACCCAGGTCAGTATGAACGGACAAAGTGGCAGCCAGCCTGGGTATACAGTGGCAGTGGCGGTCTGGTGTGTCTGTGCACCATCAGAGATCTGTGGGCAAAACAGCGATCGATTTACCGTGGTAGGCTGTTTCCACTTATTCAGCTCATTAGCTGGTGTTACGTTTTAATGACGGCGAGATAAGTAGCGTAACAAGCTCATTTGTTACGAGCTCTGAAGCTATCACAGTAATGAATAATTGATTGAACCCAGCAATCAGGCAAATTAATGTTCTAGAACACGATTATGTTACCACGATTCTGATCATACAGAAGCTTTGTGACGCAGCACAGCCTTTGCCGTCCTGATCTGCGCCCACCAAGGGAGGCGCTCACGGCCCGGCCGCCGCCGCCTGTCTCGTCCTCAGGTACCTGGTGCACAGCATGGCCTCGGACTCGCTGAAACTGTGCTACGCGTCCGTGGCGCTGAACCCGCAGCACGCGGTCGGCTGGATCCGCCAGATGAGGACGATCCTGGCACAGTGTCTGTCCCGACTGGAGACGCTGCGCCCAGAGACGGCCGGAGACGCGCCGGTACGGAGCTGGAGGGAGGGAGAGACGGACCCGGGGAGAGGGCAAAGGTAGGCGAACCTCCGTTTCGTTTCTGACACTTCTGAGCGGGTGAGCCGTTGCACTGGAAGGGTGAGGTCAGGGACGTGATCGGAGATCGGTAGGAGCCGACCCTGGCTGGGCGGTCTGCCTGGAGCTGTGAATGGCGACAGTGGGTGGGCCATAGTGGTTTTGCTGAACAGATCGTGGCTAATATGTGGTGCTGCGCCGGGCCATCGAACCTTTCTCCCGCACTGACCCGCGTCGTATTCTCCGAACAGACTGTGACGCTGTAAGTACTTGTTTCCCATTCCACAGAGTGTGACGCTATAAGAACCTATTTCCCCTCCCACAGACTTTGACGCTGTACCCGTCTCCCCTCCCACAGACTGCGACGCTGTACCCGTCTCCCACCCACAGACTGTGACGCTGTACCCGTCTCCCTCCCACAGACTGTGACGCTGTACCCGTCTCCCTCCACAGACTGTGACGCTGTACCCGTCTCCCTCCACAGACTGTGACGCTGTACCTGCACATGCTACTGACGTTCACGTCGACGTCCAGCTGGCGGCTGTTGACCAACCCCAGCCACGAGAAGCTGAGGCCCGTCATGGACAAACTGTGCCTGGCCCTGCTGCAGCACGCCAGCGCCGCGCACCTCATGAGGACGCTGAAGGTAGGCTGCATTAGCTGATCGGCTGGAGTTTTTAGGACCCTGGCTAAGGGAAATTATTCACGAAGCTTCGGAAAATGACTGAAAATCTTACGATGCATGTCAATGAGCATATGCTACTGATTCTGCTCTGCTCACTGCTAGAACGGCTGTGTTCATGATTCATTCTGCACCCCACCCTCAGGATGTGCTGGTCTGCCGTTTACCCTTCCTCAAACATCCTGCCTTTTCCTCGGCAGGAGGTGCTGGTGCGCGGCCCGGCCCGCTCTGACACCCTGCCCCCTCCCCCGCCAGGAGGTGCTGGTGCGCGGGCTGGCCCGCTCTGACACCCTGCCCCCTCCCTCCCCCGCCAGGAGGTGCTGGTGCGCGGGCTGGCCCGCTCTGACACCCTGCCCCCTTCCTCCGCCACCAGGAGGTGCTGGTGCGCGGCCCGGCCCGCTCTGACACCCTGCCCCCTCCCTCCGCCACCAGGAGGTGCTGGTGCGCGGGCTGGCCCGCTCTGACACCCTGCCCCCTCCCTCCGCCGTCAGGAGGTGCTGGTGCGCGGCCTGGCCCGCTCTGACACCCAGCCCCCTCCGCCGTCAGGAGGTGCTGGTGCGCGGGCTGGCCCGCTCGCGGCCGGTGCTCCGGCACGCCTCTCTCACAGCCTGTATGACGCTGGCGCTGCGGCCGCTGGTGGCCTCCCAGTTCTCGGCCAATGACGTCAGCGCCTACCTGATCAGCGTGCTGAGCGTGCCCGGCCTGGTGTCCCACCTGCAGAGCACGGCCCCGGAGGTGGGTGGACGGGCCGCAGACGGAGAGCGACAGAGGTGGGTGGGCGCCGGTGGACAACACTTGGGGCACGAATCAGGCGCCCAGAAAGGAAGGGGAGAGTTGGCCTATGATTAAAGCGGATGAGTTTTTCGCGTCGCTGTTCTCGCTACTGCATGAACTGTTTCGTCGCAGCATGTTGTGGCTAAGCACATTGACGTCTTTGAAGTCACGGGTCACTTAACAGGCTTAGCTATGTATCGTGGATTGTCATTTGGTTGATGCATGTTGATGCGGATCTCGTTGCAGCTTGGCACCCAAACGGTGCAGATCTTGTCTGTTTGCCTGCTGCTGTGCCCCTGTTGTGGCCTTCTGCTGAGACGCCCGTGTGCGCCGTGTTTCAGTGTCTGTCGGCCATCAGCACTCACGGCCTGCTGGCCAAGTGCACGGCCCACCTGCTGGACCAGCAGGCGCTGCGGATCGTCTTCAACACGCTGGAGGGCAACTACGCGCTGTGTCTGCTGGCCAACCTGGTCCACTTGGCGTACCTTCAGGAGCCAGACACCCTGGCCTCCGTGCTCTGCCCCGACCTCAGCGTACGTATAGAGCAGGGGCTTCGTTCATACGTGTGGAGATTGAACGCGACTCATTTTTGAAAGATTTGCGGTGCGGAGCATGGCAATGACGGGAAAATATCTGTCCATTATCTCCTGGCATATCCTTAACGACATGGCATGTATTTGTTAGAAGACTACAAAAATGCAACTTAATATTTTTTTACTACAACTTAAACGGACTTGGCGTGTTGTTTATTCCTGTTTCACTTCCTAACTATTCTGTCAGCCGCCCGATCCGTTTCTTCTGAGACTCCCAGGTCACCTCCCGCCGTCTCCTTTCGGCAGCTGGTGCTGACGCGGCTGCTGGAGAGCCTGCAGAAGTACGTGCAGAACAAGCGCTCCAACCTGAGCCAGTGGCACCCGGTACTGGGCTGGTTCAGTCAGCCGCTCGACCCGCGGCTCACTGAGGCGCTGCCTGCGGTGCGCGCTCAGCTGCAGCTGCTCTGGAGCCGGCCCATCTCGGCGGCTCTGTTCGCCGGCATGGAGCGCGCCCCGGCCCCGGCGCCGGCCCCGGCGCCGGCCGGAGCCGCCCAGCCGCCGCCGCCGGACGGCCGACTGGCCGGCTGGCTGCGCCGCGCCCTGGAGCGCGGCCGGCCCGGCGCGGCCGCCGCCCGCCGGCTGGGCAGCGCCGAGTGCGCGCGCGTGGCGCTCGTCTGCTCCCTGTACCAGACGGCGCTGCAGACGCTCACCCAGCTGCGCTCCGACATACTCACCAGTGAGTGGACATGGGGGGAGGGGCTCTCACCAGTGAGTGGACATGGGGGAGGGGAGCTCTCACCAGTGAGTGGACATGGGGGAGGGGAGCTCTCACCAGCGAGTGGACATGGGGGGAGAGATCTCACCAGTGAGTGGACGGGGGGAGATCTCACCAGTTAGTGGACGGGGTGGAGATCTCACCAGTGAGTGGACGGGGGGAGATCTCACCAGTTAGTGGATGGGGGGGGGGAGATCTCACCAGTTAGTGGACGGGGGGGGGGGAGATCTCACCAGTGAATGGACGGGGGGAGATCTCACCAGTGAGTGGACATGGGGGGGAGATCTCACCAGTGAGTGGACATGGGGGGGGAGATCTCACCAGTGAGTGGACATGGGGGGAGATCTCACCAGTGAGTGGACATGGGGGAGATCTCACCAGTGAGTGGACATGGGGGAGATCTCACCAGTTAGTGGACGGGGGGGAGATCTCACCAGTTAGTGGACAGGGGGGGGGGGGAGATCTCACCAGTGAGTGGACGGGGGAGATCTCACCAGTGAGTGGACAGGGGAGATCTCACCAGTGAGTGGACATGGGGGGAGATCTCACCAGTGAGTGGACATGGGGGAGATCTCACCAGTGAGTGGACATGGGGGAGATCTCACCAGTGAGTGGACGGGGGGAGATCTCACCAGTGAGTGAACATGGGGGGAGATCTCACCAGTGAGTGGACATGGGGGGAGATCTCACCAGTGAGTGGACATGGGGGGAGATCTCACCAGTGAGTGGATACCACGCCTGGCGTCCACCGACTGGGCCCGGGGTAATAGGTCGAAATGAGTCGTACATTTCAACTGGACGGGACAAGTTCGATAACATCTCACCACGCGTCCCGCAGGTCTGTGTTACGGCGGCAGCCTGCTCCCCGACCTGTGGTCGCTGCTGTACTGACAGTGCGGTGTGGTCCGTCCCGGCAGGTCTGTGTTACGGCGGCAGCCTGCTCCCCGACCTGTGGTCGCTGCTGTACTGACAGTGCGGTGTGGTCCGTCCGCAGGTCTGTGTTACGGCGGCAGCCTGCTCCCCGACCTGTGGTCGCTGCTGTACTGACAGTGCGGTGTGGTCCGTCCGCAGGTCTGTGTTACGGCGGCAGCCTGCTCCCGGACCTGTGGTCGCTGCTGCGCGGCCTGGGCCCCGACTGCGGCCTCCGGCAGTTCGTCGGCCTGCTCGGCTCTCCGGATGGCAGTGCCGCCCCCGAGTTCCACGTCGTCTCCATGTTCTGCGACTGCATGGCCAACTACGTGGTGTGAGTGCCCCCCGCCTCCGGGCCGGGGAACGGGACGCAGAGCTGCAGAGCATCTCGCCTCCAGGCCGGCCGATGGGACTAGAGCGCACCGGCTGTCCTATGACGTGAAGGCCGAAGGGGTCATTAAACTCGATCAAATGTGGTATCAAAATATGCTATTTTCTTCTGATTCATAGATCTTTGGAAACTGGTGGCCTATCATCGCTGATAGATTTACCATGATTTTGAAAATAGAGACTAGAGCCATCAGCCAGAGGGATCACCGATCGTAATATTGCATCCCATTGCGCCGTTTTCAGTGTTCTGGACGACATCGAAATGTACGAGGAGCAGAAGCTGTTCAAGTTGGAGGACTACGTTCAGATATCGGGCTTCCTCAACACATTCGTGTACAAAATCATCAGCAACAACCTTATCGGTACGGACAGCCTCCAATGTGTGTCCGACAAACTCACATGCATATTTCAGAGTTTGCCTGACACCTTGTGGTTCTACGTTAGCATTTTACGTTTGTTCGTATGTGCTTCTGCCATGTGACCTGACTGGGGTTTCTGTGCTCCGGACAGATGCCAAGTCGCTGCCGACCAGCTCCCTGTTCCAGTCTCTGCACGCGCTGCTGCTGCTCCTCTACAAACGGGACTGCCGCAGACAGTTCGCGCCCAAAAACCACTGGATCATCAGGGAGATCAAGATCAGCTTCCTCAACGACGTCGAGAAAAACAAAAAGTGGGCACTGGTAAGTTTTCCAGAAGATCATATGCGTCTGATCTGATTGGGATGGTGTAAATACATACTACAGCTGTGATCGTGTCTGGTTAGTCGGAACTAATGATGTGTCGCCACTCGCCACACCATCGTTCTGGTAATGCACGTATATTACTAGATTTTCAACGTTTGGGCAATGGTATAGTGATTGAGAGGTAAAGTAGGAGGGTTTGGGGGTCACGGTAAAGGGTCGCTGGATTTTGATCAGACAATGCTGCAGGTACTGACCGAAGACGAAAGTCCTGCGTGAATAGTAATACGTGCCATTTCCCGGCCTGTGACCGTCTGGCCGGTCCGCCGCCGCCGCAGCTGATGTAAGACGGAAGTCCCTGCCTACATTAGTACCTTTACCCGTCTGTGACCTGTCGCCTGGTGTTGTTGGCAGCTGCTGCTGCAGAAGGTGCCGCACGTCCTCCACCACGAGGAGCGCGTCTACCTGTTCCGCCAGGAGGTGTCCAAGGAGCGGCTGGCGCTGGGGCTGACCGAGTCGCCCTTCACCTCGCCCCAGTCCACCCTGATCACCATACACAGGTGGGTACTCTGACCCTGCTCATCATACACAGGTGGGTACTCTGACCCTGATCATCATACACCGATGGGTGACGCGGCGGACGCAGAGTCCAGTCACACACACACCGCAGCAAAACACGTATTCACGCCAGTCGACCACACTATGATGAATGTTTTTAATGTTACACAATCCATGTTATCGTATCGTTCACTGCATCATCTTCTTGATGTGGTCAGTGCTCACTGGCAGAATTGCTTCAGGTGTTATTCGTTTTCCTGTTCCCTCCTACCTAATCACCATCCTATCAGCTAGTTTCTGGTCACAGTTCCCCATTACTTTTGTCCCGTCCATCTTTTGTTTGTCACTCGCTACACATATACAGTGACCACACCAACCAGTGTAAACCAGTGACCACACTCCTGGCCGCCTAACTGGCCGTCCGCCAACTTTGTTTCACACTGTGTCACGCAGTCCGCCACCCGTGAGTCACGCGGTCCGTCACCCCTGTCCCGCGCGGTCCGTCACACGTGTCCCACGCGGTCCGTCACCCGTGTCCCGCGCGGTCCGTCCCCTCCGACTCACGCGCTCGCCGTCATCTCACGCGGTCCGCCGGCGGCCAGGTCCCGCCTGCTGGAGGACGGCTACCGCCAGCTGGCGACACTCTCACCGCAGCTGCTCAAAGGCATCGTCCGCGTCAAGTTCATCAACGAGCAGGGCCTGGACGAGGCCGGCATCGACCAGGACGGCGTGTTCAAAGGTCGGCAGCACCGCGCGGGCACCCGCACTGGATCGGGTGCGGCGCGAAACGCTCGCAGGGTCCATGAGAGCTTGTGAATGTTGGTCCAGCTATCGAGTTACTTTCGTCAGCCGTTGTTCGAAGGGCAGTTGGGAAATAATTTGACCACTTATCGGCCAGTCTATGGACTGTTCTCGGTCTAGTGTGCACATTCCCGGACCTGTGTCTGTTGTTATTTCCGCAGAGTTTCTGGAGGAGACGATCCGGCGGGTGTTCGACCCGAGTCTGAGCCTGTTCCAGACGACCAGCGAGCAGCGACTGTACCCTTCGCCGGCCTCGTCCGTTCACCACGACCACCTGCAGCTCCTCGAGTTTGTCGGAAAGATGCTCGGAAAGGCCGTCTACGAGGTGGGATACTGGGCGATCGCTGAAGGGGTCGCTGCAGATGGAAGGGTCGGGGTGGAGAGGGCTAGGCTGTCAATGTGGAGTGAGGAGTCTGTGGAGAGAGCGAGGCCGCTCTGGTGGACTTCCAGGGGAGATGATACGATCGTGGGGACTATTGAGTGGATGGAACTCTGGAACCCGTGATCCCCTGCCGCTGCTGTGACTACCTCTCGCCAGTGTGACGTCGCCTGCCGCCGGTCCGACCCCGTTCATCGCTCGCTCGGCAGGGTATCGTGGTGGACGTGCCTTTCGCGCCGTTCTTCCTATCTGAGCTACTGGGCCACTCGCACAAGAACCTCTACTGTTCGGTGGACGAGCTGCCCTCGCTGGATCCGGAGCTCTACAAAAACATCACCTACATCAAGGTACTGGCTTAGTTTATTTGGGACGGCCGAGTGTGAATGCCGAATGGGTCCGTGAAAATCTGAGCAAGTACGGCCTGTACCCATTGAATAAAAAAACAATCTACGCTGATCACGCAGATTTTGGCAGGTATTCGTATTTTTAGCATGTAATTATTTATTTCTGCGATGCGTTTACGCATCAAGTTCATTTAACCGGGTCAGGGACGTTTCAGAGTACGTGTTTATTTTTTGTCCGACTGTATATACTGGTTATTTACGGCGCGTTACGACCTTGGCACGCAGAGTGCATACCGTTGGCTAGTAGTTGGCACGGTTCACCGGGCGGGGAGGGGTATTTGTTTGACCCCGGCCCATGACAGTGTGTGTGGCCGTCAGGCTCAGGATAGGGAGGGTCCGCTGGGCGCAGTGGTGGGCCCGCTGTGTGACGGTGCCCTCCGCGGTGCAGTGTTGATACTGGCCGGTCTCAGCAGGCCGCCACCGGCCCTCCTTGGCTGCGGGCACAGAGCCGCCGTTTATACAGCTGTCAGATATGGGACTGATAACACAGCGGCTGTCACGCACACGGCTGTGTCACCGGCTGCGGTCGGGCGGACTAACAAACTGCGGCGCCGGCGGTCTGACTGACGGCGACCCCCGGTCTCCGCAGCGGTACGACGGCGATGTGCAGGACCTGGGGCTGACGTTCTCGTACGACCAGGACGTGATGGGCCAGCTGGTCACTCACGACCTCATCCCGGGCGGACGCGTCATACCCGTCACCAACGAGAACAAGTGAGCACACCGCTGCTGCACCGGGGTGGGCAGCGGCGGAATGGTGCGGTATTTATAAATTCTGGCTGCTAAGTCAGTTCATGTGCTCTGTGAGAGTCATCGGGGCTAGAGAAGGAACAATGATTGGTGCAAGGTTATTCAAGGCTGTTGACATTGTTCGAGGTTCCTCCCTTCTGACGTTACTTTTTCTGACATCGTCCCTGACGCTGTTGCGTTCCCAGGATCCAGTACGTGTACCACCTGGCCCATTTCCGGATGCAGACGCAGATCAAGGAGCAGACGGCGGCGTTCATTCGCGGCTTCCGCGCGCTGGTCCGGCCCGAGTGGCTGCAGATGTTCTCACCGCCAGAGGTCAGTTGTGGCGCCGCCCCGCGGAGCTGCCGCGCATGCTGGGCTTGATAAACTGCCGACAGATGGTACTGGACGCGGGTTTGCTGAGTTATCGCTGTCAAAACAAAACAAGTCGAAGTCGTAACACTTAAGGCACTCCAGCAATTGATCCGTGTGATCTGGAGAAAAAAAAATGGGTCGATCAAATACCTGATCTATTGGTTGTATTCCAGACGACGATCAGGTCTCTTTGTGTCCCCCATTTTCGGCTCTCCATGACCGAAGGAGCCCCCATGTATTCCTCGGACATTCACAGGGGACATGTCGCCGGTCGCTTTGACTGGAATGTGTTTTGTCAGCTCCCGCGGGGTCTGCCTGCTGCGCTGGCTCGGAATGTGAGCTCTGCTCTGAACTCGGAGTTAATCGCTCATATCCCGTGAGAAAGGTGCAGCTGCCTCCTGGCTCGGTCCGGGACGAATGCTCTCAGCGGCCTGGTAATTTACTACGGAGTTCAGAAGAACTCGAAACATCTGACGCCGGTCCGTCTCTGCTGAGACGGGGGCGATCGGGGTAGCCTCGGGCTCAAGCACGGCAGACTCATCAAATCTGGAATCGTGCTCATGCATAGACAAAACTAGAAATTAAGTGACATGCGCACTGCGCAGCTTAAGGGCAGTGCCGCAGTACTTACAGAGTCCCTTTCTTGAGGACTACAGGCAAGGAACCATAAATCCACACTATACGGGAATCAGGATACAGCATATTCTACATATACCTAATAGATCGAATATTTTGCATGTGCGTATCTTTACGATGGTCACTTATGTGTCGATAATACTTTGCGTCGTAGCCTTCTAACAGAAGAATAAAGGAGAAAATGAATCAAAGAAGAGAAAGATTTCGATGAGGGGATAAAACTGCTCCGGCCGTCTGATCTCCAGATATTTAGTTTGGTCGACAGTAGCCATGTCTCTGTGCCCTGTGGGCCCCATGATGTCACCAAACGGCGCATCACGTTATGCAATCAGGTCCCGTTGCAACTGTCCAGCGCAGTATTCCAGTGTGTATGTGTGGAATATTCCATTAATGCTGGAGAAGTCGACCTCTGCCCAGCAATGATGTTTGTCCGACCAAACCATAGGCAGACGTGCAGTAGTACCATGGTGAATATGGTACAGCTGCACCTAACCTCACGGCACATACAATGTGAACGGTACTGTCGCTAGCCGCCGAATCGCGCCACACACGCGCAACTTTTGTGTGCTGTCGAGGGGACGATTCAGATTTAGTTCGGCATGTTTTAATGTAAGTACCCAGCCCGACTTTTGAAAATGCGAACTACTTATTCTTCGCTGGTCTTTTCCGCCGGTCTGGTGCGTTGGTTTGTTCCAGTGGTCTGGTCTGTCGGCCTGACGTGGTCTCCATGCAGGTTTGACCGGCCGGGGAGCGGCGGCACGGCTCCTATCTCTATTATCACAGCTGGTGCGTCTCTCTGTGCGCCGTACCTGCCCTGCAGGAGATGTGTGAACCCGCCCCGGCAGGGAGGTGTGTTGGGGTGTCCGTGAACCCGCCGCGGCAGGTATATTTGCGGCGTCCGCACCCCGGGTTCACTGACTCGGTGCGGCTGCGTCAATATCGCCGTCTGCGGCGTATTCGTGACGCAGACACCCCTCGCACCCGCGGACGGCGACGACAGACCCCCGGCCATATATCGCTGTCCACCGCTCCACCCCCGCGAGGGAGGACTCACGGAAGACCCCCAGCCATATATCGCTGTCCACCGCTCCAACCCCGTGAGGAGCGCTGTCCACCGCTCCAACTCCGAGAGGGAGGGCTCACGGCAGAGCCCCGGCCATATAACCCCGTCCACCGCTCCACCCCCCTGAGGGAGGGCTCACGGCAGACCCCCGGCCATATGACCCCGTCCACCGCTCCACCCCCGTGAGGAGCTCTGTCCACCGCTCCACCCCCGTGAGGAGCTCTGTCCACCGCTCCACCCCCGTGAGGAGCTCTGTCCACCGCTCCACCCCCGTGAGGAGCTCTCACCGCGGCCGCCTCAGGGCTGTTTTGAACGGCCCTCGGCGCGGAGATAATGATGTTTTGGTGCGGCAGAATACGGCCCACTCAGAGGTCGTGATGTGAGGAGGTGGGCTTATTTACAGTGCGGCGTGCCCCGCCTTTGATGTTAGAGTTATTGACGATAAGTACTGGGAACAGGATGTGAGATGTGGAACCTGTAACTGTTTTGGTTATATGGGTGCGGTAGTCTATTTTGAGGACGTGTTGTCGTTAAGCTGGAAACCCGTCATTGCCGTGATATCCACCAGTCACGACCACACGTTGTGAAACCCGCTAATCCTCTGGTGTAGCAGGGATGTGTTGTGCCGAGCTATCCGTCCCCGCGGTCGGCTCTCCGGCCGTGGGGATCAGACCCGACTCCGGTCAGACTGGGGAGCTGTTGCCAGCCGGGTCGGCCGGTCAGTGGCGCGGCCTTGAGGCGCCAGCTGCGTACGTCGGCAGCCGACACCGCCCGACGCCGCCCGGGATCGACCGCGCTGCGGCCGGCCGCTGCGTGCCGCCGACAGTGGCGCCGCCAGCGGCCGGTGGCCGAACCACCAGGGGCAGGGGACAGGGGTCCGTGGCCGGCCGGCGCCTCCGCGGCTGCCCCGCCGCCCCTGTTTACCTCGGAGCGCGACACGCCACCCGCACGGCCGGCCCGCCTGCGCGTAGTTTTCCACAGAAACGTCCGCGACGTCCGCGACACGGAGCTGGTTTGTCGGTCAAGAGGCGGTTTTGGACGATAACAAGCCGCAAGCACTTGGAACTGCGGCTCGAGGGTCGTTTTTGGGTGTAGCTGTCAGTTTTGTGCGTTAGAACATGAGTTGACAATTTGATGCAGACGTTTACTTCTTGTATGTGCCTCTTATCGATTGGTTGTCAGTGTAAAAGTTAAAACATGCTCTTTTGCTAGCACCATCAGCTGGTAAAACTGCCTTTGATAATATGACGCTCGTCGTCTTTCGTGGAGGACTAGCACCACCTGACGAGCTACGATGTCCAGGCCGAGCTAAACCCGTTCTCAGCTGTATGTAATCTCGGCTCAGTTTGTCATGAAACCTCTGTCATCTGATTACGAATATTTTACTCGGTCATTTCGTCGCCCAGCTGCTGCGACTCTTCCTTCGCTCCGTCCAGTGTAAATTCCCGTATAATCCGCCGTGTAGATCCGGCGTGCAAGATCACTGCATGCACGGCTCGGCCGCCCATTATGCAGCGTAGGTCACTGGGTCCGACCGACCGGCCGGCCCTGCCGAGCAGTGTCCCAAAATTATATTTTTGTTTGGGTGTCAGAGGGCAAAAATGCTGACCAGAAAAGGATGAGAGTGAAAAATTGTCGGTCAGGTAAGACCCAAAAAGAGTGGGAAAATGATCAAAAACATCCATCTATCTACATTATTGTGACAGATGCAAAACAAACATTCGCGCAATCGCTCCTCTCTCGGTGGAATTGGGAGTGGAAAATTGGGCTTGAAAACTGGAGGTGAGAGTGGAAAATGATTTTCATTTGGATGTCGTTTCCCACCCACATCTGCAAATTTTGGCACACTGCTGCCGAGTTACGGGCCGCGGGACTACGACGCCATGTGATGGCGGGTGTAACGTAGCATGGATATTGGGTATCCGCCGCCGCAGCTCGCTGGTATAAGTATCGTGGTAATACATACGACCGGGCGGTGTTACGTGGGCATAATTTGACCGGTGTTAGGTGCGTATGCTTCCAATGGACTGGCTGTATACCTACTACGCCGGTGCAATGGCAAATAGGTCCGCCGTCGTTTGCTGTCTCAACAGAGTCAAAGAACCACAGTCAACAGCAGTCCAATAGCCGAGCTGCAACATTTGCCAGCGATGTTTTACTTCATGCACCGCACAATTATCATCTGACCCTACTCATTGCACCACGGCTAGTAGTACTTACCACTGGGTACGGGTTTTTACAGCTTGTGCTCGTTTAAAAATGTAATCAATCGTGATCGCGGACACGGATCGTCGGCCCTGCAATAGGGGAGTGATATGAATAGCTCAGTTAGTCGTTCCTTCAGCACTTCACTGCTGGTCATTGGTTACCGATTGCTGGCGGCTGCTGTGGTTCGCTGACCTCTCGCGCTCAGTCCGTGTGTCTCTGTCCGTTCCCTCACTGCAAACCGCCCCGATGTCGGTAACCTCTCATCTGGAGCCCTGCACCGTCCCGCTGTAGGCGCTCCCCGCAGCACCGTCTCGCTGTGGGTGCTCCCCGCAGCTCCTGTGCAGGCACACACTGCACAGACGCCGCTCTGGCGAGCGGCGGTGGCTGATGGCGCGCCCGGGCCCTCTGACACCGCGCTGCGGGTGACACGCGCCAGTTGACACTGACACGCCCTGCTGTGTCTGGTGTCGGTGCCGTGTCGCTCGGCCGGCGCGCCGTCAGCGGTGATTTGTGAGTCGGTCGGACCGAGTCGCCGTGTCCTTACTCGGTGGCCCTTTCGGCCCTGCTGGTCGGTCTCCGTCCGGCTGATATGGATAGAGCTGAGCGGTATGAGATGTCCGCCGTCCACGGCCGTCCGTGTTCGTCCGGCCGGCGTGCCGGGATGCCGCTGCCGCCATGCCGCTGCCGCGCCACCGGCACCGGACACCTCTCCCAGTCCTCTCCGTCTCCACGGGCTGCACCTCTCCTAGTCCTCTCCGTCTCCACGGGGCTGCACCTCCCGCCGCGTCTCAGCTGGCGACGTGTCGGCTCACGTGTCCCCTCCGTCCTCCCTGAGACTCCCGTCCCTGGCCGCGGGCCGGCTGCCGCCGCCGTGTCTGCCGTCCCCGCTGACGGACAGACCTGCCGTGGTGACGGACAGACTCCGTCGTGGTGACGGACGGCGCTGTCCGCTCCCGCCGGGGTTCACCTGGTCCGTGGCGCGCCGTCAGAGACGCGATGCACGGCCGGTGGATGGGTCTGCGGCGGCCCCGATCCTATGCCCCCCCTCCCCCCCTCCTCCGGTCACCGGGTCCTGTGTCCCTCCACTACCCCCTCCCCATTCGTACATCATATCTATCCGACGCCGGGCACTCATTGCCCTACTTGCTACCATGTGGCGTGCTGATGTTCCCGAGTTTTATTGCCGGTCTGAACCGCAGTGTCACATTTTAGCTCGGCAGTTTTCAGAAACGCTTAGTCTTTTTGGTATTATTCCGGTAAGTGGTGTAGCAGGTGTGGGACACCGATTTGCGGTATTTCGGAGCGGTGGCTGTCGTGAGAGCTACACTGCGCCGTACATACATGCGTTCAATGCCAATCACTGGCTGGCGACCATCTGACGACGTCAGCTGCTAACGTGACGTCGGGCGCAGAGGATGTGCTTCTGTCATTGTTGAGTCAACCGATGTGCTGCTGTGTCTGTTGCTGTTAGATAATGTACGACTGACGCCATCTGATCAAGTACTGACGTTAAATGACGCTTCTCCGTAAGGTAGACTTCTACTGATGTGAGGTGATGTTCCGCCGATTAAGGATAACTGCTAACGTCAGTTAGCGTAACGCCAGCACATCACATGACGGCGGTCAGATGCGCAGTAAGCACGCTCAGCTCGGAAAACCGGACTGCAATGGCCTTCATTCATGAGAATCTCGGTTCAAGCTACTCATGAAGGCTTGTGGCTGGGAGAAAAGGCTGATTGGTGATCATAATCATGCTTGGGGAACTCCGTTTTTATTGGCTTCTTGCAACCTAACTCCAATCAGCCGATTTTCTCCGGCATTGGAGCATGGTTGGAACTCGCCCGTTCCCGTCTTTGTTGAGCCGCCGCTAGCCATGGCCAGTGGAGCCTGGGGCTACTGACGGTGGTCGCTGAAAACAGACCAGGGGCGGGGAACCCTGGGTCGTTTTGGCTGGCCGGCGCTCCCTCGAACTGTGACGCACAACCCGTGCACTGTGATCGATCTTTGTGTGTGTTCCATCTGTGGGCATTGGCCCATGACTTGTTCGTGGGTCCACGTCAAAACTCAAAACAGCTAGTGACTATTGAGCTAGTGACTTTTGAGCTAGTACAAAAGAGCTAGTGCTTCAAAACAGCTAGTGACAACACAGCTAGCGCCAAAATAGCTAGTAATGCAAAATAGCTAGTGCATTAAATCAGCTAGTGACTAAACAGCTAGCGTCAATATAGCTAGTAGAGCAAAATAGCTAGTGCTTCATTATAGCAAGTCATAAGCGTAGGAACCATGGGTGCAGTGGGTGCAGTTGCACCCACAATAATTCTCCAGTGGGTGCAGACAATGTATTCTGCACCCACAATAATCTGGAACAAAAACCCCTTTTCTCATCAACACTACTTCCCATGCAGCACAACAAATTCAGGATATTTTGCCCACTTTCCACCTTTAGAAGCGTTTGCTACTGTGATGGTCTTCAAAACTTACATTTGCGCTCAAGTAAAAAAGGAAGCAACGGAACACATGTGATTGAACACATACCGATGACCCACTGTCAAAGGTTTTAGCCCGATACCTATCTTCGAAAATGGCTAAGTTAGCCGCATTTATGTACTTTTTGCGGTAGTCGATATTGACATTATCAACGCTTCTAAATACACTTATCTTCGGTAGGTACCTTTTCGACATGGTACACCCTCAAAGCTCACAAGGAGCCTCCGCTCGGGTGCCGCTCCCTACCCCCTCCCCCCCCCCCCCCCGGCTTCACCGGCCATGGCTGGATTTCTGCACCCATGCACCCACAATGTTCCAGCCGTTCCTACGCCCATGTCAATGTAGCTATAGAAATCGCTAGCGTCGACTAATAGCTAATAAGCAAAATAGCTTATTCGTAGAGCAGCTATTATAGATTCTTTCCCGACGAAGAGTCCCCAGACGGGTAGAAGGAGCAGAAGAGCACCGTAGTTTGACAAAATTATTTGGAATGCTAGGAGGGCAGAGGACGGGATCCCTAGGACAAACAACAAATTAGAAGCGGGGCACCGGGGAATTAAAGAGATGGCATATCGCGGGAAATACATATTTACAGTCATAGATATCTTGCATTTTTGAAGCGAAGTGAATGGGAAGGGAACAGAGGTCCAACGAAATTGCTATTTTGACGATAGCTATTTCGTCACTAGCTGTCTTGAGGCACTAGCTCTTTATGCTTCACTAGCTACTTTGACGCTAGCTGTTTTGTCACTAGCTGTTTCTAAGCACTAGCTATTTTGCTTCACTAGCTATTTTGACGCTAGCTGTTTTGTCACTAGCTGTTTTGAGGCACTAGCTGTTTTGTACTAGTTCAAAAGTCACTAGCTCAAATGTCACTAGCTATTCTGACGTGCACCCCTTGTTCGTTTACTTCTCGGATGCACAGTGTCCCCGGAATCGATGGTACAGTGTAATCCACGAGTCACGTCAACGGCCAGCCCCACACCCCTGCAGCTCCTGTGTCGTGGTTTAGCGAGTTCCTTTGTTGAGCTGACCGTTTTACCCACGCCGCGTCCTGACGACTATTTTATCCTCACGGCTTACCTTACCGACCTTTTTACCCCGTCCTCCCCTACTGACCGTTTCACCCCGTTCCGCCCGCCCGCAGCTGCAGCGGCTGATTGCCGGCGACAACGTGGACCTTGACGTGCGCGAGCTGAGGAAGTACACCCAGTACTACGGCGGCTTTCACGACCGGCACCGCGTGGTCGTCTGGTTCTGGGACGTGCTCGACAAGGACTTCACGCAGGAGGAGAAAAAGATGTTCCTCAAGGTGCGACCCTCCTGCGCGACACCGCGGTCTGTGGATAGCGAGTGGCGCCCGTATTCAGGGCGGCATTCAGTATCATTTTTTTACGACTGTCGATTGTTTTGACTGTCATTTTCTGACTTGAAAACATTTTTGGGTTATGAATGCGACATAGCCCAGTTTCTTTAATGCGTCTGTTTATATCTTTTTGTCGTTGCAAATGTGTCGTAACTAGCAGGTTCGTCGTCAAAAGTCGCGCTTGGTACGACGTAGTAACCCACAGAGTTCAACAGACGCAGTGGTGTGCAGTGGCCGCTGCCAGCCCGGGCAGCTGACTGCGGTCTCCACACCCGGCCTGTGTCTGTCTGCGTGTGACTGACCGAGTGTTTGTGTTCCCCAGTTCGTCACCTCCTGCTCCAAGCCGCCGCTGATGGGGTTCGCCCATCTGGAGCCGCCCTTCTCCATTCGCTGTGTCGAGGTCGGCGACGACGACGACACGGGGGATACGATAGGTGAGCAGAGACACTCGGAGATACGATAAGTGAGCGGAGACACACGTAGATATGATAGGTGAGCGGAGACACACGGGAGATGTGATAGGTGAGCGGAGACACACGGAGATGCGATAGGTGAGCGGAGACACATGGAGATTTGGGAGACACGGAGATAAGGGAGATACGATAGGTGAGCGGAGATACCTACACGGAGATACGATAGGTGAGCGGAGACACATGGAGAAACGATAGGTGAGCGGAGACACACGTAGATATGATAGGTGAGCGGAGACACACGGGATATGTGATAGGTGAGCGGAGACACACGGAGATGCGATAGGTGAGCGGAGACACACGGAAATTTGGGAGACACGGAGATACGGGAGATACGATAGGTGAGCGGAGATGCCTACACGGAGATACGATAGGTGAGCGGAGACACGGGAGATACGATAGGTGAGCGGAGATACAAGGAGATATGGGCGACACGATAGATGAGCGGAGACACGGGAGACTCGATAGGTTAGAGGAGACAGCAGACACGGGAAACACAATGGCACGGGATAGGTGAGAGGTTGTACAATGTACGTAGTGAGCGGCACGCGACACTAGTACCTACTCTAAAGGTGGGCGACGGGGTAACTCAATATTTACAGTTTCCATCGAATATGCAACATGCTTTGGTCTCCGTTTCTTTCCCGTCGCCCACTTAATCGACAGTCCTGTCCGGTTTGTGCTCGCCACGATTACCGATACTCGGCCGGCGCCGTCCGGTCAGTTTACTGTCGATTGGAGCGCGATACTGTCCGCTGTACCTACAGCTCCGGCGCGATCGCTCTAACGGCGGACGACAGCGCTGTTCCGAGAGGCGGTGCGGCGCCACGCCGCCCGGAACTCGCCGGTTCTCCGCAGACCGCTGCAGTAGCGCGCAGTTTCTGTACCGGCCGGGTCGGTGGGGCCGGTCCTATTTTCGTCATGCCGTTCGCGGGGTCCGTTTGTTCTCTGTGGAAGCTGGTCAGCTGGCCGGGGGGGGGGGCCGCCGGGAGCACCTGTCCGCGGTCGGGTTCGGGTCGCCGGGCGCCCGGTGCTGACAGTGTACCGCGGTACTGTGCCGGGTCGGCGGGCCGCGGCTGGGGCAGTAGCTGTGGCCGCCCCAGACGGCGCGGCGCCGTGCGGCCGGCGGCGGGCGGGCACTCCGTGACCCGTCACGACAGGCGGTGGCGTGACGCCCGCACAGCCGGTGACGCAGCGGCCGGGGGGCGTCCGTGAGTCATCGGATCGACCGACACCAGCCTCCGACGGCGGCGGCGGCGGGGCTGCGCCTCGGTGGAGCTTCTGACTCCGCGCTGGGACGCCGCTCGCCCTTCCGACTTCTTTTTGAATTGCTCATGGAGGAGTCAGTTGGTGGTTGGGGAATATTAATTATTTTGTTTGAACTGAATCGGTCATGTCCGCATTAATCATCTCTTGAGACCTGTTTGTTTTCATTTGGCCACCAGCCAGCCCCAATGCCCTGTTCTTTGTCCTGCTATCCGTCGACGCAGTAGCGATTGCTGCGATTATTATTTTGTTCCGTCCTCGTTTCTCAGATCCTGTTAGATCGTGTTTGACGTCACTGTCTTTGTTATGTTTGCTTCTTGCTGACCGATGTTCCGAATATCACATTATTTTTATTGAGGGTAATCCCAGACGCAGCTATAAAAACTTCAACCGCACACCACACAGTCGCCTCACCAGCGTCGGGGTTAAAGTAGCCGTTCTGAACACCAGCAGAACGCTGTCAGCTGGACCACTGCTCACGGGCAGTGTAGTGAGCCGTGGTCATCACGTATTAACTGCATCGTAGGCCTACATCAACCGTCGGCTCGAATTCCGTGAGCGGTGCTGTTCACGGCTGCCGCTCTCTCACCTGACGAGGGAGCGCTGGCATGTAACTGTACACGGGAGCTCACTCCCGGCCCAATCAGCCGGACCTTCCCGGCCCAATCAGCCGGACCTTCCCGGCCCAATCAGCCGGGCCTTCCCGGCCCAATCAGCCGGGCCGGGAACCTGGCCGTACACCGAACTGTGGCATTGGACCGACAAGGTCACAACAGGGGCGCCTCGTTACCGCCGGCCCCTGCTGTGACGTCACTCTGGCCGTATGCGGCGGGGCGCGGCACATTGATTGGGCCCCTCGCTGTACGGGTAATTCAGGGCCGCGTCCCACGGCCGGCCGGGGTCCCGGCACGTCACGGCGGCCACGACGCGCCGATGACGCTGGACGTGACGTGTGTCACGCGGCAGTGACGTGGCGGTGACGTGGGTCACCTGGTGGTGCAGTTCTGAGGACTATCATACGCGGCTAGGTGGGGCTCTTGGCAGTGCCACTGTCTGGATGGTGTCGCCCACGCAGCAGCTCCCGTACCTCGCTAATGGTGCATTTCAGCTGCAGTGTGTCGTCAGTCTGCCATATGAACGTGTATCTCGGACGGCAGATTGTCTGAGCGGCTCGAGAGGCAGAGATGCACTGTTTCTTCAGATTCACTCGGAGAACAATAGAAGCCTTGGCTCCATTCTTATGGTTATGTAATTACTGAACACTACCATACAATGTCAATGTTTATCTTGTGTTACACCTGGCTACTAAGACAGCTTCTTACGATATCGGACAAAGGTTACGATTGATGTAAGTTCTCCAGCGGGTCAATAGTTTTGCCCTAAATCTGAAGTAGAGATGAATCAGCCGTAGTCTTTTTTTGCGGTACGTTTTTATTACTGCTTGTAGATGGCTTAGAAAGTGTCATTGTCGTCAGTAATTTCGGCAAAAAGTGCGTCAGAAGCCCCATAGTCGGTGCTCGCGGGTCATGTTGTCGGTAGTGGCAGCACAAAAACGCGTCCCACTTCATGTTGTGACGTTAGACGGTGCTGACTGGGTAGTTCAGCGCGTCAGAGTGCAGATGACGAGAACTATCTGGAATCCTTCTCAGCGAACCCGAGGTAAACAACCGCCTACCGGTGCTGGGGAGCGTGTAAACCACCAGAGTCAGTGTCAGCTGACGCCGAGCGGACTGATCTACAGCACACGGACCGGGCGCCCCTGAAATCGGGGTCAGCCGCCGGGCATCACACATCGCCACGCAGAAATAGCAAACACCCGCGGCCGGGGTGCAGCGGCTTTCATGGCGGAATATACAATGTCTGATGGCAGTTTACCTGACATCGAGTGAACACCGTTTGTTTATTCCCATGGTGCAGCCTCAGCTTCCCAACTTTTGCTACCTATCTGACCAGTGACAATGCATCTGCCCCAAATGAACTATCACTGCATGTTTAGTGTTATCACTCGCTATATCGTCTCACGGACCGCGTATCCTTCCGTCCGTGTCCCCATCTCGTGTTGTACGTTTCCCGGTCGGTTCACCGACTGCCCGTCTGTGTCCATCCCCGCTGTCTCCTCCCCAGTCCGTGCTCCCTGTCGTCCCTGATCTGTCGTCTGACCGTGTGTCTGTCTGTGTGCGCGGCGGCAGGCTCGATGCTGCGCGGCTTCCTATCGGTGCGCCGCCGCGACCCGGTCACCCGGCTGCCCACGTCGTCCACCTGCTTCAACCTGCTCAAGCTGCCCAACTACCAGAAGAAGGCCACCCTGCGCGACAAGCTGCGCTACGCCATCCGCAACAACACCGGCTTCGAGCTGTCGTAGCGGCGCCTTCCGGTCAGTCCCGAGCCCGCCTCCTCGCCAGTGGCTGCCGTTGTACCCCGTCCTGACCAGACCGGGCCGCAGCGCCACAGACCCCACCAGTCGCCACCCGACCGAGCCTCGACCTGTCTCCCCGGCCCAGCCACAATCCGTGTGTAACGGCTTGTTGTTCCTTATAGGGAAATTGGCGATATTTATTCGTAGTCGCTTATGGTTTATCATTAACATTATTTTCCCTATTGCGATCGAATTCATCTATGAAAAAGTTGCGAGATTTTCAGCTCCGAATTAAAATTAACGTGCACTGCGGAATTCAACGAACTTACAAAACCTTTTTAGGTGGCAAAATATATTGAGGAAATGATTTGTTTTGCGAGCTACGCTTTAGACGTCATAGTTATTGAAAAAATCACGCAGTTATCCAGTATCGAACCAGCAGTATCCTACAAATCATATGTCGCCATTTAATTCGCTTTCCCGGTGGTCCTAGTCCGAAATGGCTGTCCGGATTATGTCGCAAGTCGGTCCGTGATGGTCCCATCGGCTGGTCCATCGGTCTACTGGTCCTAGCCGCTGGTCCTAGCCAGTGATTGGCTAAGATGCAATGACAACTATTTTCCACTCTCGTCGCTCGCTAGTCCTCTGGTCCCGCCAGCTGTTCCCTGATCAGCTGGTCCGCACCTGCCCCCATCATCTGCCCTCCCCCTTCCTGTTTGTGTCGGCGCCGGGCGTCGCTGGGGGATCTCCGGAGGGGCCCCTGTCCCCTCTGATCGATGCCACCCTGGCCCCGGGAGCGGGGTATCCGTCCGCCGGCGATCGGAGGGGCGGCCGAACGGTCATCGCGCCGGCAGCGGCGGCAGACAGCGGCCGACGCCGGGCGCCCCTTGTGGCCGACAGGGTACCGCCGGATGTGTGCCTGCCATAGAGACGAGTCGGCTCCGTGAGGAGACAGGACACTCGTATGAGGGATTAGGGAGACTTTTGAGGGGTGAGGGGGACGTTTCCCTCGGACAGTCACGGGCAGTGAGATGAGAGGAAAAGTGTTGGTGAGACTGGTGAGAGGAGATTGGTTCTAGATATGCAGGGTAACAGGCAGTTCGGTGAGAGGGAGAGTATCGAGCCGTTCAGAGGAGAGTGGTGCCGGGTGTGCCGCCTGTGGGAGCCTGCAGTGCTGCCGGTAGTCTCGACTGTGATATATATCGCGTGTGTTTGAATACGATCGGCCTGCTTCGCGCCGCTGTCCGATCAAATTGTCAGCAGTCGCCGATCTGATTCCATGATCGTGATCGTGGTGTTGTATTCCAGTATTTTTGTTAGACCTTCCTGACCTATAATGATCGTCGTGCTATGGTAATGGTGGCAATATGTTATTGAACGCTATGTGGATATTACTATTATCTGCCTTTGTGCGGTGCAGTGCGCCGCTGTTTTGTCCTATGGGGCAATATCGGCGTCAGTGCCGTGCGATCCTCCCGTTTTCCGAGCCGCACAGGGCACGACTCTGTGACTTGCGGTGCCGGCTCTTCCCAAGTACCGGTTGACAAACTGGTTTACAGGCGCGGTCATTGCGAATAGCCATGCTTTTGTACTGTGGTACGGTACCAGCCGTCAACACCCGGGTTTATCTTCGCCTCCAGCTCTGTGCGAGCCACCGCTTCGTCAAACCCGGGTGGACGACGAGGGTCGTTTGGGAACAAAGGACAGGACGGTGATGATGGGGATGGTGGGTGGGCAACACTCCGCGCACCCCTTGTACACCGCGGCTCGGCTCACACTGCGCGTGTTATCGGCCGACCACGGCGGGGCCGCCGCGGTTCTGTTTGTTCTTCTCCACCCTTCTCGTTATCGCCCCCCCCCCCTCCCCCTCCCGCTTCCCTGGACCCCACTGGCTCGGTGTCGCGTCGTGTCACCTCGGCCCGCTAATCACGATTCAACGTCCCGTTAATGCTTGATTAGCGTGTCCTCCGATCAACTCCTCTCCCTGTTTGGCTGTGAAAGGCCGTCAACACCCGGGTTTATCTTCGCCTCCAGCTCTGTGCGAGCCACCGCCAAACACCCCAAAGGAACCAAGGGTATGTGTATTCTTACTAGATTATGCGCGCGTGTCCCGTTCACAGGGTTCACAGGCGGTACCTGTCAGCACGGGGGTTCCACGGCTCGGGTCCTGTAGGTACTCCGCCACACACGATGGGGGCCGGACCGGACACTGGGCCGCCTGTGGCCGCAGCCGCCGGAAACCGCGCCAAGTCGTGCCGACTGAGCGCGTCGGCCGCGCCGTTCTCTTTCGTTGCCACGTACTCGACGGATACAGCGGACTCATGGAACGCCGTCCAGAACAGGGGCTGACGCAGCAGCGCCATAATCAGTGGCGACCCCGACCATCCCCTCCCCCCAGACCCCCACCTCCCCCATGTTATCGGACCGGATCAGCACGCGGTGCCCGCCCCATCTCTCTCCCCACACCAAACATGCCACCATGACGGGGATGAGCTCCAGCCACGTCATGGATGGCGCGACGTCACACTGCAGCTCGCGGGGCCACTCCATCATCCACCATTCGTCTCCGTGCCACGCCCCCATCCCCCGACGTGAGCTGTCCGTGTTCATCACAATACAGTGGTCGTAGGGGCATTCCATGTCAACCGGGACAGCCAAAATCGGCCACCTCTGCGATTTTGTTCAAACTTGGTATACTTATTGGCTATTGGGTGAAACCTCTGAGGGTGAAAGGATTTTGTCATATGCCCTCGGGGTACAGAGATACAAGTCGCTAAACTTCTGCTTTTTGAGCAGAATTGGACGTGTATTGCAATCTTGAAAGATCTATAGCTTCAACATTTTTGAAGCTATTAATTTCAAACAAACTGAAACGTGTACGTAAAGAGTTGTGCTAGTAAAATTTGACAATTTTTACATTTTTTGGTGATTTTGAATTTATTTTATCTTGAATTAATTTTTTAAAATGTAATTTGTGAAAAATGGGTACCCTTCGATTTTGCTCAAATTTAGATATTGTGTTCCACTACACGTAAGGCACACGTGCTGAGAAAATTAGAATGGGCCAACACTCCGCGCACCCCTTGTACACCGCGGCTCGGCTCACACTGCGCGTGTTATCGGCCGACCACGGCGGGGCCGCCGCGGTTCTGTTTGTTCTTCTCCACCCTTCTCGTTATCGCCCCCCCCCCCTCCCCCTCCCGCTTCCCTGGACCCCACTGGCTCGGTGTCGCGTCGTGTCACCTCGGCCCGCTAATCACGATTCAACGTCCCGTTAATGCTTGATTGAGTGTTGTCTTTCCTCGTGGCGACCTGTGTGCGATTTCAAACTCTTGGAGCATGTTTCCGTGTTTTGTCGCGTAATGCACATTTTCCCTGGGTGTCGTCCTCACTTTCCTGGTGCTCGGTGACCAGAGGAGACGGATTTTCTCTGGGTATGGCCTCGTTGAAAGGCTTTCACATCAGGATCGAAATCACTGCAAACTGTCTAGCTGCGATCTCAGTGTATGTTTTCGTCTCAATGTTGTCATATTTTGATGAGTTGTGAACCAAATACAAACTTCTGCGAACCGTGATTGTAGACTTCAGTGGCCACCAGCCAGGCAAGGTCGTCGGTGAGCAGGCCACCTGATGGACCGATTCGGGAGTCCATGCCTTCTCAACGGCGAAGGTCGAGCACAGCTCGCAGGCCAATGTCGTCATGATTCTGATGCGAACTGGTGAAAACCAGTCACTCAGATATTTATGTTAAATTTGGGAGTCGAAAAAACCGTTGTAACATCCACAGGTAGTTCCATAAGCGTTCCGTGACGACCGTCCAGCGCCTCTCCCATCCCAAGCCACCGTCTTCTCCGCTGACCAGGCCATCAACAGACTCGAGTCTCCTTTGTTCCCGAACCGCCGTGCTATGGCGCTATCCAGTACCGCCCTGTGACACTACCTGCTCGGTGAGCCACTCCCCGAACACGCGCTCCACCCCGGGTGTTTGGCGCAGCTCGGCCCCGTGGGCGGCTGCTCCGGCGGCGTGGGCGGCCTCTGGAGTGGCGGCCATCGGCAGTTGCCGGGCCGCGGCACTGCGCACTGCGCTGCCAGGACACGACCGTGCACGGTCGGCCTTCAGAGCGGATCAGCGCGGGCGGGGCGGAGCGTGATCGGTGCTGGAGGGATGCGCGGGGGAGGGAGGGATCCGTACTGGAGGGATGCACTGCATGGGAGGGAGGGAGCTACCTCAGTGACGGGGAGAGATCCAGGGAGAAGTATGGGGCTCAGTGGGTGATGGATTGATGCATGGTGCGGAGCTCAGTGGGTTATATACTTGGCCATGGGAGCTAGACTCGACGTGCCTCCTCCCAGTGCCCAACCTGAATGATGTTTCATCCCAAGGTCTGTTAAAGACTTCTGAGAAACGTATAAGGTACGCGCATGTAGGCTGCTATTGGGCAAACAAAGAGGGCTGAACTGCAGCAGTTACTTGCGGCCGGCCGGCGGCACTTCGTGCGGCACAATGACTGTGCTGTGCGTGAGCCGTCCGGTCCGGTCCCCTCCCCAGCGCGGTGCGGCGGTGGCGCAACGTGCCCTCTGACAGCCGTCGCCTTGAACTTGGCCGGCCGTCGGCGTCGGTCGGCGGGCGGGTGGGGTGCTCGTCCTCTCCCGGGCGCGGGGCGCGGCCAAACAGCGCCCGCCGCGGGCGGTCTGCACACGCGCAGCGGCCCGGTGTGGCCGGTGCGTGCACCGCGCACCGCCGGAGTGGCGGCTGGGTGAGGCCGGTCGGCCGGTCGGGGGACTCGGTTGTCGGCACCGGACCGTGGGACACTGTACCGGATGGGACAGAGAGAGGTCTCAGGCAGATGGCCTGAGGTTGGCTCGGTAACACGGTGCTGGCAGCAGCTCTGGCATACCACGACAGTAGGCATCATCAGGGATTGGTGATGGCAATGGCCCAGATGGGTGCGATTACAGTCAAGTGTCCGACTCATTGGACTCTCGAAAGTTGATGACCAATAAATTATCTGATGCTTGTAGCTCCCCAATCTTAATTGTTTACAACCAAACGAAGCATCCTTTTCTTTGGAAAATGCACTAAGATACGAAGGCGCAACAGTGGGACGTCGGACTGGTTTGGTTTGGTCGCACTCGACATCACAGATAATCGTACCCTGGCCCAGCTAAGGTCACCGATGATTTTCCCTCCGCGGCGGATATTCAACTCATAGCGGCGACGCGGCTATGGAAGGTTAGGACCCTGCCCGGGCGCCACTGAACGTGACCGGAGCAAAGGGAGACGGGGGTCGGAGATAGATAAATCACCCCGCCGACAGACGCGGGGCAGACCCTGACTAGGGGTGGTGCGAAGGGGAGTGTAGGAACGGGCGCGCCGCTGGCAGGAGAGCCGAGAGGCGCGAACGGCAGTCGTCGACTGCGACGGACGGCGAGTGGAGCAGAGAGTGGGCGAGAAGTGAGCTAAGGAATCCGTGCGGAGTGCCAACGGCTACGAGGATTATCCGATCACGCACTCCTTAACGCCGACATGGCCGCCGGCGAGTGGAGCGGAGAGCGAGCGAGAAGGCAGGGAAGCTGTGGGGAGTACCAACGGCTACAAGGATTCTATGGTCAGGCATACTAACGCCGGCACGGCAGGTGAGGCGTATCGAGCACGGCTCGGGGGTACGTACAGCGGAGTGCGGTTCCTTGGCGGCGACACCACGAGGATGGTCGCCCGGCGACTGACGCGGCGCCACCATGAGGATGGTTTCCCCGGCGACTGACGCGCATCTATTCAGAGGCATATTAAGCGCACACGCAATCGTAAAGGAAACCGGGGAGCCTGGTAGGCACGCTTTGAAGGGTCGTGCAACGCGGCACCCCAACCTGCGACGCGATACACACAAAACACCTGGTTCCGGCCACCCTACAACTCATGCACACACATCAGGTCCGCCGCCGACCCCTCGGCTACTCTGCAACTGCAATGCGTCCGACGCCCCGGCAACTCCGCACTGCAAATACATCAGGCCCGCTGCCGACGCCTCGGCTACTCTGCAACTCACGCACATACATACTCATGCACATGCATCAGGTCCGCCGCCGACGCCTCGGCACGCACATACATCAGGTCCGCCGCCGACGCCTCGGCACGCACATGCATCAGGTCCGCCGCCGACGCCTCGGCTACTCTGCAGTAGAGATGTCCTCGGATATAACTTTTCGGTATACCGATACCATACTGATACCAACTCGGTACTTGCTAATTGATTCCTAATGTGTTCGGTATTTTGTTGGTATAATGCACCCTAGGTTGGTACTTGGTTTGGTATCGGTATTCCGACTTTCCGTAGTCGACGTCCTACTCTGCGCCGCACATACATCAGGTCCGCCGCCGACGCCTCGGCACCCACACGCATCAGGTCCGCCGCCGACGCCTCGGCACCCACACGCATCAGGTCCGCCGCCGACGCCTCGGCTACGCTGCTGTAGAGATGTCCTCGGATACAACTTTCGGTATACCGATACCATACTGATACCAACTCGGTACTTGGTATTTGATTCCTAATGTGTTCGGTATTTTGTTGGTATAATGCACCCTAGGTTGGTACTTGGTTTGGTATCGGTATTCCGATTTTCCGTAGTCGACGTCCTACTCGGCACTGCACATACATCAGGTCCGCCGCCGACGCCTCGGCACGCACAGGCATCAGGTCCGCCGCCGACGCCTCGGCTACTCTGCAGTAGAGATGTCCTCGGATATAACTTTTCGGTATACCGATACCATACTGATACCAACTCGGTACTTGCTAATTGATTCCTAATGTGTTCGGTATTTTGTTGGTATAATGCACCCTAGGTTGGTACTTGGTTTGGTATCGGTATTCCGATTTTCCGTAGTCGACGTCCTACTCTGCACCGCACATGCATCAGGTCCGCCGCCGACGCCTCGGCACCCACACGCATCAGGTCCGCCGCCGACGCCTCGGCTACTCTGCTGTAGAGATGTCCTCGGATACAACTTTCGGTATACCGATACCATACTGATACCAACTCGGTACTTGGTATTTGATTCCTAATGTGTTCGGTATTTTGTTGGTATAATGCACCCTAGGTTGGTACTTGGTTTGGTATCGGTATTCCGATTTTCCGTAGTCGACGTCCTACTCTGCACCGCACATACATCAGGTCCGCCGCCGACGCCTCGGCACGCACACGCATCAGGTCCGCCGCCGACGCCTCGGCTACTCTGCAGTAGAGATGTCCTCGGATACAACTTTTCGGTATACCGATACCATACTGATACCAACTCGGTACTTGGTACTTGATTCCTAATGTGTTCGGTATTTTGATGGTATAATGAACCATAGGCTGGTACTTGGTTTGGTATCGGTATTCCGTTTTTCCGTAGTTGACATCAATACACTGCACTGCACATACAACAGGTCCGCCACCGACGCCTCGGCTACTCTGCAACCCACGCACACACATCAGGTTCGCCGACAACGCCCCGGCCACTCCGCAAATCACGCACATACATCAGGTCCGCCGCCGACGCCTCGGCTACTCTGCAACTCATGCACATGCATCAGGTCCGCCGCCGACGCCTCGGCCCCTCTGCTACTCATGCACACACATCAGGCCCGCCGTCGTATAGCCTCAGCCACCCCGTAAAATCTGCACCGGCATGGGTCGAGAATATGGTATGGCAGGCATGGCACGCGCCACACCAACTTAAAAGATGGTATGGCAATGCCATACCAACTTTTCAGGGTAACAGCTACGAAATTTAAGGATTTCAGTTTGATAAGAATAAAACACGATAGTATTGTTTCGAGCAACTGGCGCCATACCAACTTTGAAAACAATTCTCCACCCATGTTCGCACGTACATGAGGTCCGCCGCCGACGCCTCGGCTACTCTGCAACTCACACACATGCATCAGGTCCGCCGCCGACGCCTCGGTTACTCTGCAACGGCACATACATCAGGTCCGCCGCCGACGCTTCGGCTACTCTGCAACTCACGCACACGCATCAGGTCCGCCACTGACGCCTCGGCTACGCTACACCCCTTGCACGTAAGTACCTACATCAGGACCGCCGCCGACGCCTCAGCTACTCTGCAACTCATGCACATACATCGGGCCCGCCGCCGACGCCTGGGCTGCACTGTAACCCCTGCACACATCGGGTCCGCCACCGGCGCCTCGGCTAATCTGCAACCCATGCACACGCATCAGGCCTGCCGCCGACGCCTCGGCTACTCTGCAACTTACAGGCGCCAGGTGCGCCGCCGTCACCTCGGCCCTCTGCAACACGGTAGGCACTTAGCTTACTAAAGCGCATTTTAGTGACATCAGAGCCTGAGTCGATCGCCGGCGACCTGGTCACTCGTGGAGGTGTTCACCGCCGTACCGTACAACACGGAACGCAGACCATTTAGTCACGCCGGCGATTCGATCGGAGTCTGGCAGGCGTAGTTCAGACACGCTATTGTCATCGCATATAACATCTTGCCACGAAACCTGACACGAACCTGCCTGGGAGCCGCTTCAATAGCGAGATAAAGCAGCACTTGTTGACG